TCTCTGTGTTGTCCAGGCATCTTGAACTCCTGGGCTTAAGTGATCCTCCTGTCTCAGTTTCCCTAAGTGCTGGGATTACAGACATGAGCCACCATGCCCAGCCATGATTTTAGAATAAATTGTATAAGAGGTATCCATTCATTCAGCAGATCTGAGTGATTATTATGTACTAGATATTGGGGGAAATACTATGTCTAATAAGGCATGGTGTCTGATCTCAAATTCACCTTCTAGTATGGTCAATGATTTACAAATGCAATTATACTACAAGACAATTCTGTATAATAGCAGTAAGTTGGCACCTTAAGTTTTCACAGAGAAAGAAGCATCTTACCTCAATCTTGGATAAATGGGAATGTGCAAGATGGAGAAGTAGGAAATGGTTCTTCTAAACAGAGAAAACAGCATATTTAAGTACACTAGGCATGAGAGGACAAAGTTTACTGCTAACTACTAGACACATCAGTATTGTTAGAGCAAAACATGAGAGCAAGGGCATTCTGTGGTTTGGACTGGGGTCTCAAAATGCCTCTTTCTCCTTAGCTCAAGTGGCATCCTTTACCTGCAGCTATCTTTAGGGGAAAAAAAAAAACATAAATGGGATGTTTGGTTGAAAAAAAGACCTCAGTGCTGGTATAGTTGCTAGTTTAATAGTCCCTTTTATTTGGCTGCTCCTTGTTCTTATATTGTGCATATATGGCTTGCTTAAACCACACAGTATAAAATCACTGAAAAAAGTGAAGTCTCGATATTAAATGCATATAATTTGCTTTATGACTTTAACAAGTTCCTTATCCCTTCTTTTACCCAAAATGGCAGGGGAGGTGTCTAACTGATCTTGTTCAGCCAAATAATTCATCGTTTGATAGTTTCTAATAGCTTGTGCCCAGAAGCCTTATATAACCATGTCATTTGCTCAGAAGGAAGGAATGTTAGGTAGAAATAAAATAATCTGAATTAGTTGGGCATGGTGGCGCACGCCTGTAATCCCAGCTACTTGGGAGTCTGAGGCAGGAAAATCGCTTCAACCCAGCAGGAGGAGGTGCAGTGAGCAGAGGTCACGCCACTGCACTCCAGCCTGGGCAACAGAGTGAGACTCCATCTCAAAAAAAAAAAGAAAGAAAATATTATAGCTGTTTTACCCTCTAGTATTTCTCTATATTCTAAAATTAACTAAACTCTCCATCCCTTTCTGGACCTTTCTGTTCCTGAAGCTGCATCTTTTAGACCACTCTATTACAGCCATGAATAAATTTATGTTTCACAATCTGAGATGGAATTCATCTTGCTTTTCACACTAAACGCAAGCATATTTCAAACTAGAAAGACCTATATCAGAGTGTAAAATATAACAACATTTAGCCTTCAGAAGAGAAACTTGAACATAAGGAAAAATTCCATGAGTTTGTTTATTGTTTTTGGCTCCATGTTAGCCTCTTGTTTTATAGCCAGTAAGATACATCTTATCTATATACCTGTTTTGTTTTCTTTTGTGTTCTCAATTTGGCCTATATCCTGAAATAAATCATTCTCTGGCAAGCTGTCATGAGGCCATGGAATTTTATTTATTTATTTATTTTTTTTTTTTGAGCAGTGTCTCACTCTGTTGCCCAGGCTAGAGTGCAATGCCATGATCTCAGCTCACTGCAACCTCCGCCTCCTGGGATCAAGCGATTCTCCTGCCTCAGCCTCCCGAGTAGCTGGGATTACAGGTGCCCGCCACCACACCCAGATAATTTTTGTATTTTTAGTAGAGATGGGGGTTTCACTATGTTGGCCAGGCTGGTCTTGAACTCCTGACCTCAGGTGATCCACCCGCCTCAGCCTCCCAAAGTGCTGGGATTACAGGCATGCGCCACTGCACCCAGCTGAATTGAATTTTTGTAGGCAAATAAGTGTTTTAAGTGTGAGAATGACTTAGTAGGAAGGAAATTAAAGAACACGTTGGGAAACCCAGGTTAAAGTCCTCAGTTTGCACTTAACAAGCTATTTGTCCTTGGGTATGTTGCTAACCAAGAGCTTTTGTCTTCAGTGTTTATTTCTTTAACATAAAGGATTTGAACTGGAAGACTTCTAAGTTCAACAAATGTATAGCCTGAATTTTTTGAACAATACTGATTTCAAATTTCTTGTGACTTTAATGTCTATAAATTTAAAAATGTCTCAGATTCCAATATTTGAGACTCTCTGCACCCAGAAGTATTTTAGAAATCTCTTTTTTTTTCTTTCTTTTTTTCTTTTTTTGAGACAGAGTCTGACTCTGTTGCCCAGGCCGGAGTGCAGTGGTGCGATCTTGGCTCACTGCAACCTATGCCTCCCAGGTTCAAGCGATTCTCCTGCCTCAGCCTCCAAGTAGCTGGGGTTATAGGCGCCTGCCACCACGTCTGGCTCATTTTTGTATTTTTAGTAGACAGGATTTCACCATGCTGGCCAGGCTGGTCTCGAACTCTCGACCTCAGGTGATCCGCCTACCTCGGCCTCCCAAAGTGCTGGGATTACAGGTGTGAGCCACCGTGCCCGGCCTTTTTGTTTGTTTTTTGAGAAAGTCTCACTCGGTAGCCAGGCTGGAATGCAGTGGCATGATCTCAGCTCACTGCAACTTCCGATTCCCTGGTTCAAGTGATTCCCCTGCCTCAGCCTCCCAAGTAGCTGGGATTACAAACACGTGCCTCCACACCCAGCTAATTTTTGTATTTTTAGTACAACAGGGTTTCACCATGTTGGCCAGTATGGTCTCAATTTCCTGGTCTCGTGATCCACCCGCCTTAGCCTCCTGAAGTGTTGGGATTACAGGCGTGAGCCACCGCGCCTTTTTTTTTTGAGAAAGAGTTTCATTCTGTTGCCCAGGCTGGAGTGCAGTGGTGCGATCTCGCCTCACGACTCCTGGGTTCAAGCCACGTCTGCCTCAGCCTCTGAGTAGCTGGGATTACAGGCACCCGCTACCATGTCTGGATAAATTTTTGTATTTTTAGTAGAGACAAGGTTTCACCATGTTGGCCAGGCTAATTTTGAACTCATGATCTGTCCACCTTGGCCTCCCAAAGTGCGAGGATTACAAGTGTGAGCCACCACACCCGGCCTGAAATCCTTTTTTAAACCACATGATTTGGTCTTGATTTGGAAAATATAGTCCTACCATATCTTTTATTCTTTTCCCATTCTAAAATTATGTGATTCTAGCCTAAATGCAGAACAACATCCCATTTCACATCCACTGTCATCCTTCTCAAGCCCAGATTTCACCCACTTTAACATTTAACTTTTCTACCAAAACTGTAATTATCTTCAAAACTATATAATTGATCTTTTCTGAAGTTAATATAACTCACAGTGCCGTGTTTTTAGAACAGCTGGATTGAATGCTTATTGTGTGTGATATAATTAATAGAACCCTAAGTGTAATAGTGAGAGAGGGAAGGGTATAGAATTCAAATAGTGATTTTTGGTCAGAAAAACGTGGGGAAATTATTTGTGGGGTTTAGTTACAATTTTTCAGGGATTTGCCTTTATTTTCTCTGTGTTCCAGGTCTTGCCTGAGATTTAGAAGCCCCTTTCTTGCCCTTCCTTTCTGGTGCTGTCAATACTGGTGATCACCTCTGAGGAAGAAAAGCCCTCTTCCCACAGTCCATGGAGAACACTCAGCATCTATGCTTGATTGTGACAGGGCAGATTTTGGATGGATCATGAAATGCTTCTAAAGTAGCCAAGAGTTAACTCTTCCTAACCTTTTTATATAGTAAGCATGTTACCACCAAGGTAACTTACCCAGGGGAATCAACTACAGAGTGGAATCACATTATTTACACATTTAACTTACGCAAATTCAACTCTACTAAAAAAAACAAAGTACATGAGTGAGAGAGAAAAATAACAATCTAAGTAGTATATGTTAAACCTTCCATTTCAGTAAGTCCCAGGCAATGGATGAAATCAAATCTGAAATAGTTCATATTGGTGAAAGTTATGGAAAGAATGTGAGGATGATTTTTAAAGGTTTTCTAGTTGTTGATAAAGCATGTTCAGGTCACTAGGCAAGTGGGTGGGACAACTTCTTTGACCTTTACAGGGGTTATTAAAGATTGTTGAGAAGCTACCCTTAAGAATTAGAGGAACTGGCTGGGCGCGGTGGCTCATGCCTATAATCCTAGCACTATGGGAGGCTAAGGTGGGCAGATCACCTGATTTCAGGAGTTCGAGACCAGCCTGGCCAACATGGTGAAACCCTATCTCTACTAAAAATACAAAAATTAGCCGGGCATAGTGGCACGTGCCTGTAATCCCAGCTACCTGGGAGGCTGAGGTAGGAGAATCGCTAGAACCTGGGAGGCAGAGGCTGCAGTGAGCTGAGATCGTGCCACTGCACTCTAGCCTGGATGATACAGCAAGACTCTGTCTCAAAAAAAAAAAAAAAAAAAAAAAATTAGAGGAACTAACAAAATCCCCTATAAAGAATGACATGATGAGAACAAGTTGACATTTTTATAAATGTACTAAGTGCTTAAAGGAATGAAACACCTGGTTAAATTTCTGAGTGTTCTTTATGGATTTTCAGTGGTTATTTTTACTATATACTGTTGCCCCTTTATAACCAGTCCCCTAAGTAAGATGCTACCCTACCAAGTGGAAATTGCACTGATTTTGTTTGACAGTATAAATTGAGTAAGATAATGAGTAATTTCATTAAGAAGCTGGTTCGTGGCTGATACTTTCATTTTTTAAAAAACGTGGGCATGTACTTCTTTCAGAAGTCTTTGAATTTAAAATCTAGATTCTATAATGAAGTGAATATTTCTTAACCATCCTAATAATTTGTGCCATCTACACCATTTTACTTTATTAATATGATCTTTTTCCATGAATGTCCACTGCTTGGCCAGTTACTACCTTGGGATTATATAACTACCAAGTGAAAAACCATAATTGGCTGACTTGCTTTTTAAAAATATTTTGTTTTAGTGTACCTAGCATGTGAAGTACATTTTTCTTCTGTGATCATACAGGTGAACATGATTAAAGATGATGGGACAGTTATTCATTTCAACAATCCCAAAGTCCAAGCTTCCCTTTCTGCTAACACCTTTGCAATTACTGGTCATGCAGAAGCCAAACCAATCACAGAAATGCTTCCTGGAATATTAAGTCAGCTTGGTGCTGACAGTTTAACAAGCCTTAGGAAGTTAGCTGAACAGTTCCCACGGCAAGGTAGGTATTTCAATTTAGTAAATCTTTCTCTCCCCACCTCACTTAAAGAACCTAATCATTTACAAGGTGTCCCATCTTAATTTGGATTTGCCTGAATGTAATTATTTTACTTTCTATAAAATTATTTCTATGCTTCATAAAATTCTGAGTTTGTTTCTTTAATGATTATGTAGTGTGACACATAGAATATTCAGAAACATGGCTGGACGTGGTGGCTCACGCCTGTAATCTCAGCACTTTGGGAGGCCGAGATGGGTGGATTCCCTGAGGTCAGGAGTTCGAGACCAGCCTGACCGACATGGTGATACCTCGTCTGTACTAAAAATACAAAAATTAGCCAGGCATGGCAGTGGGCACCTATAATCCCAGTTACTCGGGAGGCTGAGCCTGGAGAATCGCTTGAACCCGGCAGGCAGAGGTTGCAGGGGCCGACACTGGGCCATTGCACTCTAGCCTTGGCAACAAGAGTGAAATTCTGTCTCACAAAAAAAAAAAAAAAAAAAAAAAGAATATTCAGAAACATTTTGGTAGTAATATAGTAACTTGAGAGGTAATTACCTAAAAGGATAGTGCCAAGACCTGCAGGCCATAATTTTATTTTATTTTATTTATTTTTGAGACAAAGTCTCGCTCTGTCTCCCTGGCTAAAGTGCAGTGGTGCAATCTCAGGTCACTACAACCTCCACCTCGTGGATTCAAGCAGTTTTCGTGCCTCAGCCTCCCAAGTAGCAGGGACTACAGGTGGTATGCACCACTGCACCCGGTTAATTTTTGCATTTTTAGTAGAGACAGGGTTTCGCCATGGTGGCCAGGCTTGTCTTGAACTCCTGGCCTCAAGTGATCCACCTACCTTGGCCTCCCAATGTGCTAGGATTACAGGCGTGAACTACGATGCCTGGCCCATCATTTTAAATAGTTAATTTAATATTCACTGCTAATTAATGACAATCAGAAAATCTGTTGTATGGCTGGGCACAGTGGCCCACTCCTGTAATCCCAGCACTTTGTGATGCTGAGGAAGGAGTATTGCTCGAGGCCAGGAGCTCAAGACCAGCCTGGGCAACATGGTGAGACCCTATATGTACAAAAAATACAAAAATTAGCCAGGTGTGGTGGAGCGTGCCTATAGTCATAGCTACTCAGGAGGCTGACGCAGGAGGATCACTGGAGCCCAGGACTTCAAGGCTGCAGTGAGCTATGGAATGCCACTCTACTTCAACCTGGGTGACAGAGGGAGACCCTGTCTCTTTAAAAAAAAAAAAGAAAAAAGAAAATAATGTCAGACATCTATGTTTTTGTTAAATATTATTGATTGCCCTATAAATATGGCAACCATAAGTTCTGAATTTCCAAGATAGTCCTGGTTTCAAATGTGTCATGTTGCCCCTAAAAATGAAAAAGCCTAGTATTGCAGTGCCTATACTACTTAGCTAGATATTTTCTTACATCAAAAGAAATGAAAAACAATTGATTGATTGATTGATTGATTGATTTTTTTTGAGACAGAGTCTTGCTATCTCACCCAGGCTGGAATGCAGTGGCGTGATCTTGGCTCACTGCAACGTCCGCCTCCCAGGTTCAAGCAATTCTCTGCCTCAGCCTCCCAAGTTAGCTGGGATTACAGGCGCCCGCCATCACGCCCGGCTAATTTTTGTATTTTTAGTAGAGACAGGGTTTCATCATCTTGGCCAGGCTAGTCTTGAACTCCTGACCTCGTGATCCACCTGCCTCAGCCTCCCAAAGTGCTGGGATTATAGGCGTGAGCCACCGCACCTGGCTTTTTTTTTTTTTTTTTTTTTTTTTTTTTTTTTTTTTTTTGAGACAGAATCTCACTCTGTTGCCCAGGCTGGAGTGCAGTGGATTACAGGCATGAACCACCATGCCTGGCTGAAAAAAATATTAATATTAATTTTTTTATTTGGAGAATATGGCCACTGTAAAGTCTTTTTACTCAGTGATCAGTTATTCCACTTTGCATATAAATTTTATCTTTGTAGGCCGGGTGTGGTGGCTCACCTCTGTAATCCCAGCACTTTGGGAGGCCAAGGCAGGTGGATCCCTTAAGGTCAGGAGTTCGAGACCAGCCTGGCCAACATGGTGAAACCCCGTCTCTACTAAAAATACAAAAATTAGTTGGGTGTGGTGGCATTTGTCTGTAATCTTAGCTACTTGGGAGGCAGGGAGAATTGCTTGAACTTGGAGGTGGAGGCTGTAGTGAGCCGAGATCGCACCACTAAACTCCAGCCTGGTCAACAGAGTGAAACCCTGTCTCAAAAAATAAAATAAATTTCATCTTTGCCACACATTGAAATTGCCAGCTGTGTATCAGTATATATCTAATTTAAAGTTTTATTTATTTTTAATGTTACTCAAGCAAAAAACTATGAATGGCATTTTAGATTGACAATATTTAGCTTTTTGTGAGCAACTGGATGTGATTTATACAGGAAAAAAGGGATAAACATAAGTTTTCTTTAAGGTCTTTGTTCTCAATGACTGATACTAAAATAAACTTTTTGTAGTCTTGGACAGTAAAGCACCAAAACCAGAAGACATTGATGAGGAGGATGATGATGTTCCAGGTAAGTGACATTTCCTTAGACTTAAGATTTTAAGCATCCTGTTTATCTCCTTTCAGTCACTGCATAAATGACTTTTAGGTTTGTGTTGATTGTAAGTTCATGAATTTAAGTTGATTCACAATAATATGGATAGGATCCAATGTAAAACAATCCAAGCCCCCACCTTAGAATCAGAAATTGTCACACAAAGCTCTGCTGCCTGGATTTATTAAATTGAAATCACTGTGATTATAAATCTGCATAGCTATTGTTATAACATTTCTGTGTGAATTATAATTGACATATGAATTCACCTCAGTAGTTTGCATAGACAAAAAAAAGATGAACATTTCCTTAGGATTACTGTCCTAAGCAGATAATTAAATCATTGTTAGTAACATGCCACCAGTTCATTTCTGCCTCCTTACGTTTTCAGGCTAATTCTAGTTGTACTAATTTTATTTTTATTAGGGTTAGAAGTTAGGTGTTCCATTTACCTCTTTCTCCTTTTTTGTATTCTTTGATTCATATGCTTTGTTTTTCTTTTTCAGATCTTGTAGAAAATTTTGATGAGGCATCAAAGAATGAAGCTAACTAAAAGTTTGGTTTTTGGAAGCTGGCATGGACTAGATTTAACAAATCAGCTATGTGGTTCCAAAGTTTTACAGACACAGAGAACATCACCTGTTACTAGTTCAGTAATATAAATATTTTGTATATTAATAATGCTGTTTGTTCAGCATTTTTCGGTCATTTGATTTTGCATTTTGCACTTCCTCCCAGGATATTTTTTTGGTCAAAATATGAAGTATTGGTGCAGTTGGAGGGTGTTTTGTTTTTTTGATTCCTGGTTTTTTTGTTTTTTGTTTGGGGTATTTTTGGTGTATGTATGTTTATGTATGTGTGTGGGTATGTGTGTATACAGTGGAGAGCAAATTGGAAAACATTTCTATTTATCCTCCTCCCTCCCCAGTAGAAATAAAAAAAAAATCTTTACATTTGTTACTTTTCTTTTCCCCCATAAGGCAGAGAATTAATGGAAATTGAGTGTCTTGGATTTCAGATCTGAAGAGATTTTTACCATTAGTGGTTTGATTTTAATTTGCTTGGTTAACTATCATATTTTTCATATACTTCTCTGGGTTTAAAATGTCTTGGAGGTATTTTGCCACTGGCTTCATGCTGGAGTAATGGGTAACGTATCTTTGGTATGGTTACCTTAGATTCACTTACCTAGTCAGACCCAGAAGAACTTCTTTTACTAGCTTGCTTCCTAAATGCCTTTTTCCCTCTCCTTTTGGTCTCCAAATGGCCTGGTCAGCTTTTGGTAATATTCTTCCTCATCTTCCACCTAGCTTGAGAAGGATGTTCTCCATATAGAGTTAAGCGAGTGCCTAATCCCTCCTTTTGTAAGATTTTGTTCCCTCATCTTGAGGAACAACAACTTCATCTTCAACTTTTTATTTCCCCCCAATTTTACAGTTCGGTAGATTTCAAACTGGAATAGCTAGCATGTGCTTGCTAAATAATTTTATGCCAGCCTTATCCTGTATCCTAGCTGTTCTTAATAGCAGGTACAAAAATGCCTCTTTTTCAGCAAGGTTGAAATTGGGAATGTCCTTTTGAATCAGAAGAAAATAGGCCATAGACTCATCCCCCAGCACAAATGGGCATTCTATGAAATGGTACTGGCCCTAGGAGGATTTCCTCAACCACTCTCCTACTCTTGGCCTTGAACCTACCTCTGGGTTGGATCTTACTATTGTAGCTGCTCACTATACCCTCCTGCATGCTTAGAATAATGCTTTGGGGGGAGCACTGGTAAAACACAGTATTTATTTTTTTACCTCCTTTAAGAGGACTTGGAGGTAAGTTGCATTCATTCACTCAAGTTTCACTCTTGCTGTCTAATAGAAGCTTACGTTTTGCTATATCAGCATTTGTTACAGCCAATATTTAAGGATAAAGTTTAGAAAATATATCATTTCCTGGCCCATCATCAAACTAATACAGCTTAACCTTGCAGCTGCCAACTTTTGTGTCAAGCTGGATATCTTTATTTGATATCTAAGGTGCAAGACCAACAATATATTAAGAGATCTATAGACATGAAGGCAAAGCTCTTGTATTTTTTTTCATCCAAACACCTCAATTTATTTTATAAATTTGTTCATTTTTCCTGTTATGTTTTATATAATATATGGACTAAACAAAATAAAATAACAGTACAAAAGAGGAGACTATTTCCTCTTGTGCTTTTCTTGATGTTGTGTACAGAATTTCCTTTTATATTATTCCTCCACTCTCCACCTGTAAATGAATGTTAGTACAGTAATTGTTTGAAATAATGCCTCATCCAGTGTTAGATCAGTAGCTCTACATGATCTATACAGTCCAGAATTCTTTCTCTAATTGTCCCAAAGGAGGACATTGTGGAGGCAGAGTTAGGGGGACCACTTCTAGTGGTTAGGGACAGATAAATAATAGGCAGTATAGCGCATGAAAGAAAACACACACTTGGAAGCCAGGAGACTTGTGTCCTAGTCAAAATTCTGGCATTAATTATGTGACCTTGGACAGGCCTTCTAACTACTCTGAAATTTATCAGTCAAAATAAGATGTTTCTTTTTTTTTTTTTGAGACAAGGATTTGCTCTTGTTGCCCAGGCTGGAAAGCAGTGTTGCAGTCTTGGCTGACTGCAACCTCCACCTCCCAGATTCAAGTGATTCTCAGCCTCCAGAGTAGCTGGGATTTTTTTTTTTTTTTTTTTTTTTTTTAAGTAAAAATGGGGTTTTACCATGTTGCTCCAGGCTGGTCTTGAACTCCTGACCTCAGGTGATCCATTTGCCTCAGCCTCCCAAAGTGCTAGGATTACAGGCGTGAGCCACTGCGCCCAGCCCAAATGAGATGTTTCTAAATCTAAAGTTTCTTCTGCTTCTGCATTTCTGTGGATCTCATTTGAAATTTTTCAAGGAAGGGATTTTATCGTTTGTTCAGAGATGGCTTTATTTTTATTAATACCCATAAAACGTTTGTGTATTTGCTTCTTCCTCTTTCTCCTTTTGATCACATTTTAGCTGCTCATCTAGAGGATCTCTGGCCAGTATTCCTTTTTATTGTATTGATAACAATTCTTAATGGCTGGCCTCTCTTGTGTACAATGAGCCAATATTCTTTTTTGTTCTATATTTTTGTATCTTCCCCTTTCCTGAATAAAGCATGTTTAGAGTCTCAAAGAAATCCTCTCCACAAAGACATGTTCCTCCCTCCAGTGTGGATAGACACAGGGTAAGAGTTTGGATGAAACTTTTGTAAATAGTGTTCTTGGCATAAATATGAATTAAATAGTTTTTTTATATTTAAAGAACTAGTTAAATATGTGCTTCTTACTAAGGTTAGGTATTTTTTGCCAAGATAACAACGATAAAAGCATTTTGTGGGAGAAATTGACCTTAAAATTTCAGGATAATTCAAGAAATGTCTGCAGAAAATTGATTTATGATCTTAATTTTTGTATTAGTCCTTTGAGGTTTTTTTGTTTGTTTGTTTTTTGTAAAGCTCCTCATCTGTTTTGGACAAGTCCAAAGTAAATGGTTGGGCTCTTATATCTGTTTCACCCTTATTTTTCCTATTAAGTAATGGTTTAAGAATATATCAAGCACCGTAATTTGTTATTAAGTAGCTAGTGCTTACAGGATTCCATTAAATTCACTTTAATAAGTCTATGAAGTTCTTATGAAAAACTTGTATCAGGGATGTGTTTGATTTGTTTCTTTGTTTAATTCAGTGTTTAACCCTAGGTATGCTATATACCCATAAATAAGATACCGTTGTAAGAGATAGTATGGTTTGGTGGGAAAAGCACAAGTTTTTAGATAGAGATCAATTCTGCTATCTACCATTATGTTGTAACCTTTCTGACAGGGCTGCTGTCGTGCACGACTTTGGGAGCCATCATTTATTTTTGTGGTGTTCCAGAAGGTGTCATTTTCATAAACCACAGTGTGAATAGTGCCCCCTGTTAATAATGCAATGATGGCCTTGCTCTCTGAGCCTCAGTTTTATCTATAAAATGGTACCTAGAAGAGTCAAATGATTTCTTAGAATCCCCTAAATTATTAAGGTGAAGGTGAAAGATGATTAAAGCGTGTTATCTCCTAAGCTATGGCTTAGGAGATTTTCCGAAGCTCACAGTTCTAGGCACAGAAAGTCTCCATTCTGCACTGCATTTCAACCTGTATTGAGCAACACTCCAGTTCAGCCTGTGTTGCTATGCTACATAGAGTTTGCCTGGATTATTATAGCTTTCTTAATAATTTTGTTTATGATCCACTCTCTCCAGCCCACTACACAGCAGCCAGCTACCTAAATTTCATATCTGAACATCCTTATATTTACTTACAACATACTATTTGTTTGCCATAGTAGAGTATTAAGATTATTTGATTTTCTTTTTGCTTTCTCATAGTGCCCAATGTGTAGTCTACTCAACATCATAATATGTAACGTTTTTGAACTACTGACTATTGAATACAAACTTATTTAATTCTCAATCCAGTGGGGCAGATATTATAATCCCTATCTTTTTTCTTTTTTTGAGATGGGGTCTCTGTCACCCAGGCTGGAGTGCAGTGGCACAGTCTTGGCTCACTGCAACCTCTTCAAACAATTCTCCTGCCTCAGCCTCCCAGGTAGCTGGGATTACAGGTGCCTACCACCATGCCTGGCTAATTTTTGTATTTTTAGTTGACATGGGGTTTTACCATGTTGGCCATGCTGGTCTTGAACTCCTGACCTCAAAATGATCTGCCCACCTCAGCCTCCCAAAGTGCTGGGATTACAGGCATGAGCCACCATGCCCGGTCTATAATCCCTGTCTTAAAAAAGAACGAAAAAAAATGGTTTAGGGAAATTGGCAAAAGGCCAAACAACTAATTGGTGGGGAACCAGGATTCTAATCAAAAGCTATCAAATCCCAGGGTCTAAACTTATCACTCCATACCATTCAACAAATACTTATGGAAGTGAAAATTATGTTTACATAGCCTCTCCAGTTAGACATTCTCACCAATTAATATCACTCAATATTAGCCTGAAAGTCAAACCTGTCATAAAGATTGTTCAGGGTCTAAGGATTTTCTTTTTTAAATAAGTAGGGTTTGTAATTTTTGCATGTATTCAGGAGTTGACTTTTTATAAAGTTAATAATTAAATATTTTGCATACTTCAGGATGTTTCATAGCAGCATTTGGGCAAAAATTCTTGGGTTATGTATGTTGATCTTGACACTGGTGTTTCTTAAAATTTTGCTACCTTTTAGGCATACCTTGTTAAAGAAGAACTATAAACCTGAACAAGGTAGTGAATTTATCTTGCAGCCATACTTTTTCTGTGTTTAAAATCAAACTATTCAACACAAACTATTAGAACTAATAAAGGAGGCTGGGTGTGGTGCCTCACACCTGTAATCCCAGCACTTTGGGAGGCTGAGGTGGGCAGATCACTTAAGGAGGTCAGGAGTTTGAGGCCAACATGGGGAAACCTCATTTCTACCAAAAATACAAAAAAATTAGCCAGATGTGGTGGCACACACCTGTAGTCCCAGCTACTTGGGAGGCTGAGGCATGAGAATCACTTGAACCTGGGGTGCAGGGGTTGCAGTGAGCTGAGATCACACCACTGCACTCTAGCCTGGATGACAGAATGAGGCTCTGTCTCCAAAAACAAAAAAAAACTAATAGCCAGTCGTGGTGGCTCATGCCTGTAATTCCAGCACTCTGGGAGGCCAAGGTGGGTGGATCACCTGAGGTCAGGAGTTCGAGACCACCCCGGCCAACATGGTGAGACCCCATCTCTACTAAAAATACAAAAATTAGCCAGGCGTGATGGCGCCTGTAATCCCAGCTACTCACGAGGCTGAGGCAGGAGAATTGCTTGAACCCAGGAGACGGAGGTTGTAGTGAGTCCAGATGGCACCATTGTACTCCAGCCTGGGCAACGAGAGCAAAACTCTGTCTCACAAAGGAAAAAAAAAAAAAAGGCCGGGCTTGGCTAATTTTTTTGTATTTTTGTAGAGATATCACCATGTTGGCCAGGCTGGTCTCAAACTCCTGACCTCGTGATCTGCCTGCCCCGGCCTCCCAAAGTGCTAGGATTACAGGTGTGAGCCACCACGCCAGGCCTCAATTGCATTTCTGTACACTTACAAAGAATAATCCAAAAAGGAAATTAAGGAAACCATTCGATTTACAATAGCATCAATACGAATAAAATACTTAGAAATAACCAGTGATGTATGGTGACAGTATGTACACTGAAAACAAATAATTAGACATCCTGTGTTAATACACTGGAAGACTTAAGATGTCAGTACTACTCAAGGTGATCTACAAATTCAGTGCAATCTCTGTCAAAATCCCAATGATGTTTTTTTGAAGAAATAGAAAAACTCATCTGAGAATTCATATGGAATCTCGAGACCCAAAATAGCCAAAAGCGTTGGAAAAGAACAACAAAGTTGGAGGACTAACACTTCCTGATTTAAAAGCTTATTTATTAAAAGCTACAGCAATATGGGCCAGGTGCAGTGGCTCATGCCTGTAATCCCAGCACTTTGGGAGGCCATGGCAGGCGGATCACGAGGTCAGGAGGTCAAGACCATCCTGGCCAACATGGTGAAACCCGTCTCTACTAAAAATACAAAAATTAGCTGCGCATGCTGGCGTGTGCCTGTAGTCCCAGCTACTCGGGAGGCTGAGGCGGGGGAATCCCTTGAACCAGGGAGTTGGAGGTTGCAGTGAACCAAGAAGATCACGCCACTGCACTCCAGCCTGGCGACAGAGCAAGACTCCATCTCAAAAAAAAAAAAAGCTACAGCAATTAAAACCATGTGGTACTGGGCATAAAGACGTATAAGACATATATAGACCAATGGTATAAAATAGAGTCCAGAAATGAGTCCTCACATGTATGGCCAAATGCTTTTCAAGAAGGGTGCCAAGACCATTCTGTGGAAAAAAATCTTCAACAAATGGCACTGGGAAAACGATACCCACATGCAAAAGAATGACAGGTCCTTTACATCATACACAGAAGTTAATTCAAAATGAGGCCAGGTGCAGTGGCTGATGCCTGTAATCCCAGCACTTTGGGAGGCTGAGGTGGGTGGATCACTTGAGGTCAGGAGTTCCAGAGCAGCCTGGCCAACATGGTGAAACTCCATTTCCACTAAAAATACAAAAATTAGCCTGGTCTGGTGGCGGGTACCTGTAATCCCAGCTACTTGGGAGGCTGAGGCAGGAGAATCTCTTGAACCCGGGAGTCAGAGTTTACAGTGAACCTAGATTGCGCCACTGCACTCCAGTCTGGGCAACAGAATGAGACTCTGTCTCAAAAAACCTCAAAATGATCAAAGACGAAAACCTAAGATATAAAACTTGAAAGAGGGCCAGGCAAGGTGGCTCACGCTTGTAATCCGAGCACTTTGGGAGACTGAGGAAGGAAGATCCCTTGAGCCTGTAATATAGTGCCCAGGAGTTCAAGACTCCTGGGCAACATGGCAAAACTTCATCTTTACAAAAAAGAGCTGAGCATGGTGGCACCTGCCTATAGTCCTAGAGTCCCAGCTACTCAGGAAGCTGAGGTGGGAAGATCACCTGAGCCCAGGGAGGTCAAGGCTGCAGTGAGCTGTGATTGTGCTACTGCACTCTAGTCTGGGCAATAGAGTGAGATGCTGTCTCAAAACAACAACAAAAAAACACGGCCAGGCGCGGTGGCTCACACCTGTAATCCCAGCATTTGGGACGCCGAGGCGGGCAGATCACGAGGTCAGGAGTTCAAGACCAGCCTGGCCAACATGATGAAACCCCATCTCTACAAAAATACAAAAATTAGCCGGGTGTGGTGGCATGCACCTGTCGTCCCAGCTACTCAGGAGGCTGAGGCAGGAGAATTGCTTGAACCCGAGAGGCAGAGGTTGCAGTGAGCCGAGATCGTGCCACTACACTACAGCCTGCTGGGCGACAGGGTGAGACTACGTTTAAAAACACACACACACACACACACACACACACATACATATATATCTGAGTTCCTTCAATAGTTTCTTTTTTCTTTTTAGATGAGTTTTGCTCGCTCTTGTTGCCCAGGCTGAAGTGCAGTGGCGTGATCTCGGCTCACTACAACCTCCGCCTCCTGGGTTCAAGTGATTATCCTCCCTCAGCCTCCCTAGTAGCTGGGATTACAGGTGCGCACCACCAAGCCCAGCTCATGTTTTGTATTTTTAGTAGAGATGGGGTTTCACCATGTTGGCCAGGCTGGCCTCGAACCCCTGACCTCAGGCGATCAACCCGCCGCAGCCTCCTAAAGTGCAGGGATTATAGGTGTGAGCCACTGCACTCCTCCTCTATAGATTCTTGAAAGTGTAGTTACTGGCTGAAAGAGTCATGAACATTTTTAGAACTCTTCATGCATATTGTAAAATTGCTTTTCAGAAAGAATATGCCAGTTCCGAGTACCTACAGCATAGATAAAGAGAATTCCTAGCTGGACGCAGTGGCTCACACCTGCAATCCCAACACTGTGGGAGGCCGAGGTGGGCGGATCACGAGGTCAGGAGATTGAGACAGTCCTGGCTAACATGATGTATCCCCGTGCATACTAAAAGAACAAAAAATTAGCCGGGCGCGGTGGCACGTGTCTGTAATCCCAGCTACTCCGAAGGC